CGCAGATTTAGATTTGGTCACTTCACTGGTCACAAATTCGCCAAGAAACAAAGTAGTCAACCTTTTACTTGTAGCCAATTTTGTACACTAATTTCGCTCACTGGGGCGTATGCAGTGCATGATTATGATTGGTCACTTCACTTCACTAGAAACGGTAACAACGCTGTCGTCGTACTTGACAAGTCCAATCAAATATGTGTCATGTCGTTTTTTTTAAATTAGCATAAATGCATCTCAACAGAGATGTAAGGTCACTCGTCTTCTAAACTAGTAAAATTTTAATTTGGAGCGTAATACTCGTAAAAATTTATGTCTAGAATGCACTTTTGCATGTTACATAATTTTGACATTGCAATTAAAAAATGTGCATTCGAATCGAAACCAAACAGCTTATTTTACAATTGCATTAAAAAATAAAAGTTGAAACAACTTTTAAATTAATTTCTGCCCATCTGCCACTTCTGCTCTTTTCTTTTCATTTCTTGTTAACAATGCCATGAAATGGACACGATTTTCGAAATTACTTATTTAATCCTCCTCCTAATCCTGCTGTCCCGTATTAATTTAAATATTTTAATTTATACGACTTTCTCTCCGCTTCCTCGCATCAAAAAATTTGTCATTATCGCGTCATCAGCACAGTTCATCTGCTGTTGTTTGCTTGCTACTACTACTAATTTGTTCACTCAGTCTATTTTTAACGAAGGAGGAACAATACCATTATCAGGACAAAACTGTACCGCACAACAAAACAGGATCCCCCCTGTCGGTATTTGAAACTTGAATTATGTACAATGGAGGTCTCCCCAAGTATGCTCTCCGATTTAGATGAAACTAGTGTCAATCGATCACAAATTTAGGTAATATGAAATTCGAAAATGATAGTGTGCACGTTTGGCAGAGATGTTTGCATCCGAAGAGGAGAAAATGCTCAGTGAATTTGGAAAAAAAATTTATCAACAACTTTAGGGCGCGTTTTTTACCTCTTCGGATGCAAATATCTCTGCCAAACCTGCACACTATCATTTTCAAATTTCATATTACTTAAATTTATGATCTATTGACACGATTTTCATAAAAATCAGAGTGCATCCGCTGGGAGACCTCCATTATTACTAACAATTTGTTACTGAACTGAAATGACGGGCAGGAAGTGGACGAGTTTATTTAAATTTTCTGTTCTCGTCGTCGTGATATAATAATAATCTTGTCCGTCATAAGGTTTTCCTTTTACGTGAAATACTAAATTAAAATCTACAAGTACGAATTTACACCCACGTAACGTGTAAGTAAATCTCGGTGGGCATAATAATTCTGCTTGTGATGATGACTGGCATTATCGCACTCGCTCATTTTTTATTGTAGTCATCTTGTCCAAAAACAACAAGTAATGTAATGCAATACAACACAACAAGTACTAATTGTTCCATTATTAGTGGCACAATTCTTACACGAAACATGGAACAGAATCCCATTCAGGATTGAAATCATCTCCAAATAAAAGCAAAACCTTGTTCAAACTGACAACGGTAACAATGCAAACATTCAAACGTAACGAGTTAACGAGAGGAGCATCACAAACTGAAGTCATCATTTGAATACTTACCATGAAATGAACGACCATTTTTTTATTCTCGATTTTGACAAGACTTTTACTTTTTATCTTTATCGCGATAAAATAAAATGATCAACGAGATCAACGAGACAGAAAATAAGGTGTTTGCAAAGTAAATACGGGAAATTTATGCAGTTTGTCAATCAATCAGTGTCTCTTTCTAAAATTATTCTGTTTCTATTTATTACGAACAAAAGTACAAAAGTGACCATAAATTTTAAGGAAAAGCACAAAATTTCATTCAGTACGACTCATCTTTTCTTCACATTTATTTACACGGTTTACGCCAACATACGTACATACGTACATACAAACGCAAGGATGATTTACTGACTGGGTTAGTTGGACACAGAAACGTAAGAGACCGTGAACTTGTACGTTTCAAATATTTATTTATACGGTAGCACATACTAAAATTGAGCAATTTTTAAAAGTACTTTATGTTGCACTTCTTCCTACTTTATCGTTAATTGAAAATGTATTTAGTGGCATGCATGTCATCGTTGGTAGAGATCTTTAATGGTGGTACATAATACCGTTTTTTTTAATTTTGGGGTATGAAACTTACCTGATGTTTATCGCATGAAATGATGAAGTGTATTTTTAATCCAATTATGATTCTGCTTACATGTGTATGTGTGGAGGAAGGGGTAGAAGATGTGTATACTTATTAAAATTTATTACCCGATGGAAATTGCAGTGGTGACCTTTAATTATTTTAAATTGAGTCGTTATAAATTTACATTATTATTCGAAAATTTTGATATGATGAGATTTCAAATTTCGGGTGGTTCTTCTCTTTTCATTGATACATTTGCAAATTTAGATTTTGCTTCACACACTTTTTTGCAATCTTTCTTACGCGAAACGTGACAATTTCAACCACCACGACCGTTATATTGCTGCTTATTTATTATTATTGCGCCAGGTGTGAGTGAGACATGCACGTTGTCCGAATTGGTCACACTTTTACCACCAGCTAAACGTACAAAAAGGTGTGTGGAATGGATTGGATGGAAATTATCGAAACCGAGCCGAGCCTAATCTGAATCTTAGCAGCCTGAGAAAAAAAATCGATTTTTGGATATCCCAAAATTTTTTAGAAAATGGGATAAAAAACAATCTGTACGTGACATTGAAATTTTTTTAAGGCGTGTGAAACTTATCGTTAAAATTTTGCCGGTATGGATGATAGTGAAATTCAAGTTCAATTGCACATTCATTGGTTGCACACTTCTGTTCTTCTTTTATCTATGCACACAAGACGCAATTTTCATCTCGGTTTGGATTGGAGTACATAAATTGAGGTGAGAACTTGTGTACTCACCTCAAGGAAAATAAAGTAAAATGCACACTCAATAACACACTTTATTGTGAGACAGATATGAAAATGAAACGAAAGCAAAATTAAGCAAGGATTCATTCCGTAAATATTTGGAAGTAAATCTTCACACGTAAATTGAATACAATTAAGGCTTGTTTGTTTTCCACGAATAAATAAATAAATAAATAGGACTGACATGAGATCAGATTTTCCCCACTTCTCACGGATGCAAAAATATTTGTAAGACATAGAAATGAAATATGCATGGCCTAATTTCAGGATTTTGGAGATATATTTTTTTCGGTTTTACAAGTTTTGGTTATTTTTACATTGCAACAAATTCTGAAAAATGTACCAAATGTCAAATGATCTTTTATGACGTACTTAACTGTTTAATAAGACATTTCGTACTCGGCGTTGATCATTGAAAATCCTGATTTTTGTTTATGTCTCAATTTTTTAAAAAGTCCAGATACGAGATAAAATTGTAAAATAAAATAGAATACGAAAATATAAAATATGCACGCTGGCCCAATTTTAAAATTAGGATTTTAAAAAATTCTGATTTTTTTAAAATCAAATCCGTTTGCTGGATCTTTTATGATTATTTTAACTGTTTTTAATAAAAATTTCATCCTCGGCGTGATCATACAGCTAATCCTGATTTTTATAAATGTCTCAGTCTCTGAAAAAAGCCCAGATACGAAATAAAATTGTATAATGAAACCAATCAGATTCTTACTTCTTACAAGTACGGAAATATAAAACATTCAAGCTGACCAAGTTTTAAAAGTTTTCGATTTTTTTGCTGTACTAATTTTGCTTATTTTTCCGACCCACTTATTTAAACTAAACTTTAATAAAAATTTCATCTCCGGCGTGATCATTCAACAAATTCTGATTTTTTCTAAATCTCCCAATTTCTGAAAATATTGAGATACTCGTCCATAGACAATTGCAAAATAAAACCTCGAATTCAAACTTCTCAATAAGTATTCTTCTCGCCAAATCTTGCTCATCAATTCATTCTCATTCCGTATTCCATTCCATTAATTGTATGACTGACTGAAGAACGAATCGAGGAAGGTGAACAATGGGACGCGATGCCTTTGCAGATACATAAATAAATTGATGATGGATTGGAAGCAAAGGGAGGAGGTAGCAAAATACACTCGCAGAAGTGCATACACAGATTAGTGAACAAAATTAAAATTGGGAAATTAAAATGAAAGCGATATTTATTTCAATATCCTGACGCCGACTAGAATAAAATGCCAGCCAACCAACCAACAACGCTTGAAATGCCTATTTCACTTTATTTCCTAGCAGAGTCGGTTAAAAAATACTTTGAAAAGAAATGAAGAAAAAGAGTTGAAATTATTCCTCTTGTTGGCAAACACATGTCGAAATTTGCGGCGATATTCTTCTCTTCATTTGTATTGATAAATGGCGATGCGCGATGTGAAAATATTTGGCAAATAAAAAAATTCTTTGAATTACTCACTCACACAGTTCGAATTCTGTCTTAATTGCGAACTGTGGCGCATGCAGCAGGCGGATTAAGAAAAAAATTCTGAATGAAAACGAAAGTCTGGGATAACTTCTCGCTAATTAAGGGACAATGTAGTCATGTTGGATGCGTGGTTGGTTGGGGACACAACTCGGTGGTCGAAGGTGTCACATGTTCCTTTTACGATGAGGAAGACGGCGTGGGGTTGAAATATTTTTACATATTTTCGTTTTCAATAAAGTTGACAAACTGTGTGGCTGGTGGGTAAACTTGACATCGAAAGAATGGGAAGAGTTTTGTAGAAAACCAAAAACCACCACACAATTCTGAAAATTTCGTGTTAATTTTGAGAGTAAAAGTGAAAAGGAAAATGAGTAATAATGATTTGATAATTATGTGTAAGCGGAAGGAAGTACTTGTCGTAAGAAGCACCTTCAACCTTGGGATTATTATGTAGATGCGAATTTATGCAAATTTATTGCATGACTGACATTCTGTGAACCTTCATTGTGACGACGATTTTTACGTTTTTTTCTCTTATTTTTTTACAGTGATATCCCCGACGCGAAGATATGCCAACTTTTTACTCCTCTCCACCGCCGTAACGGTGTTCTTATGCTTGTTCCCCGTCGCGCTAAGTCAGCCCCGACCACCCCCACCTCGTGGACCACACCCACCCCCGCCCAGCAGAGACGTCCCTCTCAGACTAACCCCGCACAAACTTCGACTTCATGACACCCCCCGATTCGCGAGAGAGTCTGCACCTCCCGGTAGTAAACGTGGTCCGTCCCCACCCAGAAACTTTAACCCGTTCCCCCGCCGAAATTCGGACGGGCCGCGAGACCTCGCCACCGCTGCGCAAACGCTGTATGACCTCCGTGGGTACAACATTCCTCTAGGCGGACAGCAAGAAACGTCGCGCTTTCTCCGAGAGAACGATCCCTTCACGTTCTCACGGTTTCAACCACGCACCAACGTGGACACACGCACCGCGCCGCTCGTCTTCCCATCATTCTATCAACAACAACAGCAAGAAACGACTTCCAAAAGACCCCAGCAACATCCCGTCCTCAACATATTTGGACATTCGCAACACCTCTCGCAAACAAAGTATGAACCTGCTGGGGGAAGTGCCAGCAGTACCGGAAATGGGAACAATAATATCAACAATAATATCCTCCAAGGTCAACCGCAGACGTTCCGACCGTCCCAAATCGACGTTGGTTTCTCCCGACATCAACACGACAACGATATTCGGGACGATTTGCAGACCAATTACAGAGCCGCGTTGCAATACGAGCATCCCGAACCGAACCAGTTGCAAGGCCGGCAAGTCCCACAGGCACAAGCGCAGACGCAAAACTTTGGGCAAAATCATCAATCCAAACAAATTCTGAATTACAGAGCGCCTGGATTAGAGAGTCAGAACCAAGTTCAGAATAATAATAATCAGGACAATAATAATCAGCAGAATCAGCAGAATAATAACGGGGGCTCCAGTGAAGAACCCTTCATCTACGTTTACGACGATGAAGACTATGACGAAGGGGAAGACGAATTCGTGGACAAGCCCCAACAGCAAATCAACACGAATCGCGTCACCACACCGGCGCCACGATCGCAGGTTATATTTCCAAATAATAATCAGCAACAATTGCCCAGTGCGAAACCTCTGATTCAAACGACACCCACACCCACGCCCATTTCTCACCACCACCACCAGCAACAACAGCCAGACTTGTACTCCTCCCAAGTTCACCAACCACAAAGTCAAAGACCTGACCCCTTCGCGCACTTTAACCAGTTTCCGCCCAAATTCACGCCCACAATCACGCCAACCCCGAACGTCGAGATTGTCCCGAGTTCGGAGAGGAAGCCTCCGCCAGATCAGAGCAACGCGGTCACACCAATTACAAAAGCGACGAACCGATTCGTTAACGATGACCGTTTCCGGAGACCACAAACGACTACCAGTCAGAATAATTACCAACAACCGCAAATCCAGCAGCAGTATTTTACGCAGAATAATAACAACCAGCAAACCCAGAGGCAACCTGCGTTCAATCAAGTTGTCAATTTGGAGGAGGAAGAAGAACAAGTTTACGAGCAGGACCCTGAAATTATTCAGAAATTGAATGGATTTCCGAATTATGAGGAACCCAGTCCGGAAAATAAGTTGAGACCGGTGAACACACTTGTTCCCAAGAATCGTGTTCCTCTCGAAGAGTTCGTGCTACCGCCGAACTTTCCGTTTCATGAGGACATTCCAGTGACGAGAGTCCCACTGCGGTCAACAACTGAGACGAGTAATAATAATGAGGTTAATAGTCAACATTCGAATCGGGGAGATATCACGCGACAAAATTACAGGTGAAAAATAACAATTAATTTAGAATGATTATAAATTTAGGGAATTAAAGTTTTCAAAATTTCAATATTTGCATTTTACGTGTCAATTTTAATATTTTTGAATTTATTTACAGACCTCCTCAACAGCAACAGCAACAACAAGAAGTGTCCCCAGCACCGCAACCACCTCAACAACACCGCCTTCGACCCACACCATCTGCCAGCCCTCCTCCTCCTCCCCCACCAACAAGAACGCGACCCACACCCACGCGCACCACGACACCCACAGCGACGCAAGATATCGATTCTGATCCTCCGAAACGTGTCCGCAATCGACCCCTTCGTCCCACCCCACCAGCAAATAAGATCCACACCTTCCCTCCATTCCCCACCACGAGACGGCCAACAACCCCAACAACAACCACCACTACGACGACCTTCCGAACCACCGCCGTCCCCAGAACCACGACCACCACGACGACGACCGAATCTTACGAGGCAGACTCGGACGAATATTATGAAGACGATTACAGCGAGGACTCTGCTGCTCCCAATTCGTTCGAACGACCAGTTTCTAAACCCCAACAGGTCAAACCTACCGCAAACAAGTCCCCACTCCGCCCAGACTTCAATAACAATAAAAATCGAAACCAGATTCAAATTCAGGAATTGCACTCTCCGAAAATAGAGGAACTTCCTCGCCCCGTTCCACAGCCGCCGCCACGACGCGTCGCCCGTCCTCAGCAACAAGTCACGTACTCCAGCACAACACCTGGCTCCAGATATCAGCAGTCCTCCCTCTCACCGACGGCAGGACCGAATAAGCGATTCAGAGAACAGTCCACCATTGAAAGTCCGCCTGCTGCATTCGTCAGCAAAAAGACGACGACAGGAAAGCCGTTGTACTACGCGGGGAAAATGTTGTCGAAAGAGGGCGGTTTGTATGCTGGACAGACCATTCCGCTGCATCACGTGTATGGCAAACCCGTCCCCAATGTCCCCATCAACTCGGTGTTTGACAGGATGCCGTCCGTTCTTGATGGACATGTCACGCGGGCCAGAGTGACGACGCAAGCAACGCCACAAGTCGTGAGTCCGTCGCATGTTGGTCAACAACATAACAGGATCCGGGTGAGAGATCGTGGTTTGGAGAGCGTCGTATCCTCATCGCCGAACAGTGCGAGGACAACGTCGACGACTACGCATAAGAATACGAGATTGATTCATCCCTCGAGAATCAGACCGATTACGAGCCACCAGGGTGAGCAGGATTTTATTTATTATAAATTAATAAGTTGGAAAATTAATTTTTTTACGAAATGAAACAATTAGGTTAAGAAATGTTTAAACAAAATAATTGAGGAATTATTTCTAGTAATATTTGACTGGACGAGTTTTGGTCAAGCAAGTAAATATTTGGAGCAATTTTTCTGCTCAAAATTAAGTAGATTTTAAGCTACCGTACATCAAAATGGTAGGAAGTCGAAAAAACAACACTTTGTCAGTGTGCAGAAAGTGTTTCGTGGCCTGTGGCCTGTGGGTTTGTTACATCTCTTGCACTGCAAAGCAAGCAACGCAAGAAATTCAGGGTACAAAAAAAATGCAAGGAAGTGTAAGAAATGTGGGCCCCATCCACCCACGCGCGGTATGAAGTATAGCGACGGGACGTAGTTTCTTGCGTTTTGCATTTTTTGCAGGTCAAAATAACTGCAAGAAACCACTTTCTTGCCCGTTATTTCTCTCAAGTGGTTACTCGCACCCGAAACACTGTATTAAAATGAATAAAACGCCGGAATCTAATGTCACGAATATTATTTTATCATAATCTAGCAGCACCACCACCCGCCCCACCCACGGAAAGGGAACCCGAACGTGAAGCAGTCCGGCCTCGACCGAATAAACCTCGCCCACGCACAACCACAACGACGACAACCCCCACTCCTGAAATATTTGAGGAAAAGGAGGAGGAAAATCTATCCGTCCCAATTAACCCACCCCCACCTCCGAGACGCCGGAAGCTCCGACCAGGTCAGAAAAAGCTGCGACAACAACTCCTCCAAAAGCAGGAACAATCCGTCTCAATTTCTCATTCGATTCGAGAAAATGAAGACGAAAATGAAGACGAAGTCGATCGGCCAGAACCACCACGAAAAAATCTGAGACCAAATCTCCACCGGCCAGTTAGACCACAACCACAATCAGTCACATCTGCCCCCATCGTGCAAGTGCTGCAAAGTCAGTCGGTCTCATCGACAGAGTCATCTTCTCCCTTTGCCACGGCCAAACAAGTCAGACCCAGACGACCACGACCCCAACAACAAGTCCAAGTTTTGCAAAGTACCAGCGAACGGAGCGAAGTTGATCAGCAAGATCAAGAAGAAGACGTCGTTCCACCACCACCACCGCCCCCACCACCACAACCACGACCTCAAAAACGGATTCGACCCAGACCACAAAAATTACAACCAAAATTGCAATCAGAATTTTCCGAGGTCATCTCAAAATCTGTGAGCACTCAGGCCTCCTCAAAAGTCGGGAGAAAACCGACCGAAGCACCGAACAGATTCAGCAGCAGGTTCCGGGATGCCGAATCTCCACCCAGCGTTTCGACCTCGACGTATTCCTCCGTCTCAGAATCGGACGATGACGACGAGCCCCAAGAACAACAGTCTCCTCCACCCCCTGGACTTAAGCATTTCTCTCCACCACCAAAATCTAAGCCGAGACCTTCCTTTAAACCGCCCGTCAAGCCGGCGTCACGCCCAACGGCTGCCCCACTCCAAGGTCTCAAGCCTAACAATAAACGGATAAAACCTGTACAAAAACCGCAATCACAGCCAATCGGCGAGTCGGACGATGACCTTCCTCCATCCATCCGCTTGAGTGCGAAGGACGTCGTCCTCAACCGCAAACCCGCCCGAAGGATTCCACCCGGCTCTGCATCAGACAGACTTAAAGCACTTGCCGAACGGAGAAAGAAAATCGCAACGCCGCAAAGTTATCGCGAATCTTTGAAAGACGAGGAGGACGACGAGGAGAACAATAAAGGACAGGATGAGAACAATAATAAAGGACATCGTACCTTACGAAGAAGAAAACTGTTGAACAATGGAAATGGGGCAAATGTAAATAGGAATGAGGAAAATGAGGAGGAAATTTTACCCCCAAAATTTAAGAAACCTTTGCAGCAACAACAGCAACGTCGTATCGTCAAGAAACAACGAATTGTTCGCCCTAAACCAGTAGTCGTTCAAGAAGCAGAAGACGATGACGAAGAACAGGCTGAAAGTCGCCAAGAGATCGAGCATGACGTCGACGATGAGGAAAAACAGCCCGAGTTCCAACAGCAGAACAAGAGAGAAATAAAACACTCCTCGCCCCTGCAAAAGAACAGACCACAGAGTGAGGACGTAACCGACGACGAGGACAAAGAATACGACGCCGCCCCGTTGAGAGAACATCAACGACCCCGAAAACTTTCTCAACGTGCCTACGAGCGAGTCCCGGCGGAAGTCACGTCCGACGAGGCGAGATCCGTCCTTGGGATCGTCATCAATCAGAAGGAGGAGGACAAGCCTGCCCCACACCAACAATATGTCGACGAAGATGACTACGAAGGACATCCAAGTCATCACTCGGAGCAAAAAATATCCACTGAACCTTCCTCAACTACACAAACATCCAGTTCGACGGCGTCCTATGACGATGACGGTGACGATGAATACAGTGGCGACAAACAAGTCGCCATCGTTTCATCCTCAACCACGTCAACTTCATCGTCCTCCTCCACCGAAGCACCAGAACCTTCGTCCACCACTTCCGCCTCGTCGTCTACGACATCTTCACCCACTGAGGCATCCACGACGGCGGCCTACCTGAAGGCACGACTCCGACCGAACAAAAAACTTTTGGCGTCACTTCAACCAAAACTGTCGTCGGCGCAACAACGCGACAAAAACGAGTCGACCAGATCCACAAACCTTTCCAAACTTTTAAAATTCCGAACTTCCGCTTCAACTTACAGCCCAATTTCTAGTTTTAATACAAAAATCTTCACAATGGCGACAGAAGACCCCAGCCTACCGTTGGAGGATATGTTTTCAAACGTTAACAAATCTTAAGAATATATTACGTTTAAAATAATCTTTATTTGGGGTAAAATGCAGAATCTTTGTTTCTACATGTTTAGAAAATAACTTATTTTTATATTTTGATAATAAGTAAGAAAAACTTTTTCCCATGCACTTTAACTAATCATGATGATCGCCATAATATTTCATATTTTGTATACATATTTTTACGCATAAATAATTAAGCACTTTTTGTTACTGTTTTTTAATATAATTTTTTTTCTTCCGCACGATACTTGCTACTGGAGTAACCTGCTTATATTTAGGTCAAGATGATGTTAAAAGTTAGCGATTTAAGGCGACTGACAAAAAACGTACTTTAATTAAGTCCATATTTTTTTTAGTTATGATGGTTTTTGTAGATACGATATTTTAATTATTTGTATGAAGTGGTGAATGACTGATTAATACGTACATACTTATTATTGGTTAATTGACTTGTCGTGTGGTTAGCTAGTAATTAATTATGTAAGTAGTTTATTTAGTTAGTAATGTATGAATTATGGATTATATGTATTTAGTTTGTTACGTATAAACTTGTAAAATGCAATGATTTTATATCACGAAATAAGTACGACGTATTGGAATGAATGGAATAAATAAGTTTGCGTAATGATTTGGTAATTTCGTTGAATAATAATACTGTACTTTATTATTAGGATTAAAATTTCAGAGACGGTCATAACGAAAATTACAAATGCATAGTATTCGGAAAGGTCGTATACAGTTTGAATATTTAGCTGCCGTTGCACTAACGATTTTGCACAAATTTGCATTGAAACTAGTAAATTTTAGATATGTATATATTTCAGGAACAAAAATTATGTAGGTACATATTTGTTCAGCCAGGTAATCAAATAGTTAAGGTTGTTAAATGCACTTATATATAATCTGACGTCAATTCGGACTCGATTTGTGTCAAAAAACGGAGAATAAAATCATGCAAGTATACTTCTGCGTCTTTCGCGGTGACGATGACCTCCTCCTCGTTCGGCTTATCCGTCGTGTCATATCCCAGAACAGCTATATTCGAAATAATACTGAAAGCAAGGCACCGAATGCCGCAATGTCGAGCTGCAATGATTTCTTGAACCGTGCTCATTCCTTGCAAGTCAAATAAAAGAATGTATCATTAAATATACATATTTCAATTCACTAATGTCAATGACTTTAAGTACCGATCGCGTCAATTCCCATCATTTTGAACATTCTCAGTTCCGCCGGAGTTTCATAAGCTGGACCTCCTATCATCCCGTAGACGCCTTCCTTCATCACCCTCCCCATCTTCATGTCCTCCCCGATTTGCTTGGCGACTGTCCTGAATTTCGAGTCGTACGCGTCATTAAGGGCTGTGAAACGTTCGCCAAACCTAATTTTATAGGTTTGAGATTAAATTGTCTGGAATTAGGGCGAATCAGATCGTATTTGTATCTAATTACGCAGGATCATTCGGTCCTCGGAGTGGAGAGACGCCAGCAAAACCTGGGAAGTTGACGTGATCCTTGATGATCATTATGTCCCCCATGCGAAAGTCGTAGTTGAGTCCTCCCGCAGCATTCGTCACTATGAGGACTTTAACTCCCATCAGTTTGAACACTCTGGTCGGCATTGACACCTGAATATATATACCACGATTACACATAGTTGACTAATTAATTTCTTAATTGATCAAGCAGATTTCTTTATTTAGTAAATAATCAACCGAGGGGAGATATGCATTTACAAATCGCTGAAATACTCCAAAAACTCCAAAATATTTACGAAATGTGTACGAAAAAAATATAAAGTATTTCTGAATGTAATGCTCTGTATTTGTTTGTGGTAGAATTTCTGTAACAAAAAAATTTCGTCCAGCATTGTTGAAGTATTTACAAAATGCAAGTGTTTTTGAAAAAAAAGTCTAAAGGATTCGCTTATTTTTCAATGCATTTATATCTCTGAAAACCTAGAAACATTTTCCAATATGTGAAAATATTCTGAAATTTTTGCGATCTATGCGAGTTAGGGAACACACCCACAAAGATTGACCGTCGGTCGTCATCAAATGACAAAATTGAAAAGAAGTACATATCCGTCCTCTGAAAGTCAATTACCGTCCACGCAGAGTACCCCTCGTACAAGTGGAACCTGCCCTGCATGCAGATCACAGGAATGTTGGCGAGCTTTCCAATCGTCATCACGCCTTTGTGACCGGGCGCCGTGGACTTTGGGAAGTGAGGAATGTCGCCGTACGGGACGCGCACGCCTTCGCTCGCGTCCACCTTTTCTCCCAGCGACCCTAATCCAGATCCACAAATGATTGCCACCTTTGGCCGCAGACTGGTCAACGAGAGCAGGTAATCGCGACTTTCTCCGAGTGCCTCAGCACCGTACTGGCTGCAAAAAATATTGGCCATTCTTTAAAAAAAATACTTAACTACTGTCAATACAAACAAGTTCTGATGTGGACTGAGCAAAAAAAAAATCAGAAAACACGTCCAAAATATATTAACTAGCTGCATTTCCATAAATTATGTATTATTTTATTGCTCACCCAACTCCTTCATAGCCAGCTTCGCAGATTTTGAATTTCTTGCAGCAACTTTCTCCCTGTGAGTTATTACCGTTGTCGTGTGTGGTGGTGGACATGTTTATCCAATCCACTAATTGACGAGAGGCCACAGATAACGGAGGAGGATCAAGTCAAAATTTCTGGTTTGGTGGAAAGGAAACACCTTGAAGGAAACGTGCCACCCGGCTTTTATTGATCCAGTGCTGTCGAGTATCGATTTCTTCTACAGGTCGCTTAATACATACACTCGTCATCAGAAAATTTGTAATTTTTATCCTAAGTAAAACTATTTGTCAAAAAATAGTTTATGAATCTGTGTGACCGTGTTGTAGTTATAAATGCGCTAAAAATGCGAGTGCATGGAAATGGAAACGTACAAAAAAAATAATTAAATCCAGATTCCAGACTGGTTTACCTGAGGTAAATTAAATTAGTCACCTCTCAGCTGCAAGTTCCTTTAAGCTCAGACAGATAACAGGTTCGTCTCTGTATCGTTATAATTGTGAACTCCTATCGAATGTCTGGTCGTTCACATTGGTGATAATGGCAATGAATTGTATGAATATTCATCAGTGCATATGTACATGTACACATGTAATTATCTAAACCATGCTGATGCTCCGTTATTTTGTCAGTCAACAATTATGTACATGCTTATTGTCACGTAGTGAAAAAATCTAGCGCATTTACTAACACGCAATATCTAAGATGTACATCAGTCAGGAAATAGCAAGTTTTGTTCATGTAGTTTGTTTATTTTGTGGTTGACGCATGACGCGCATCAAGCAGTATCACCTTCCACACGAATTATTTCGGCATGAAAAACCATAAATTGTTTTTCTACATCTGTAGAAAGGATGTTAAATTTGTATATACACTTCTATTTGATGGAAATCAACAATAATGCGCGTTAAGGAACGTTCATAAAATACCTAACACAGTGGAGACGCTGTTGCGGTACAAGCTAAATTGCGCCACATGTTAAAAAGGGAGTGTAACTCGCTACATGGGGAGGGAGGGGTAAAAATCCCCAATTTTGCGTTACGTATTTTATGAACCTTATTACAGATTACAATTTGGTCGAAAATATGTCCCAACTAATGTACTCGTTCCAACCGAGAATGGCATATCTAAATTTCAATTTCGCCAACTTGTCAAGATCAAGATCCATTCCGTTCCAGGAGAAGGTTCGCTCGTCTTTAAAAATTAAGAAATTTCTTTGTCCTGGAGAAACGCCACAATTCTGTAGCACTTGTTCCATCTCGTTTTCAAATTGTGTCGTGTTTCGTCGTTCAAATCCTTGCATCAAAATCCAAGTCGCATTAGTTTTCAAAATATTTTTCAGCAAGGTGTATTGAACTCTGTTATTCGATGGCGGTTCGAACGCTGCGATGTGTTTCACATTGGGAAATATTGTTTCGAAATTTTCTACAATTTTCCCATCCAGTGGGAACGACAACCCTACAGTTTCTGCATTAACGGAATAATCTTGTTTATCATATTGAACATCCACGACGTCCCCGATTGCCAGCGTTTTTACGGTTTTAGGAATTCGGGACAAGTTCAGGGTGGAATTTCGAAGTTCAATGTACAAATCTGTCAGTGACGTTGCAGACTTGAAAAAAGTGTGAATATCGCCCCCCGTAATGTTGACACGGTACAAGTTCAAGTACTGAAGCGAGGTTGGAAACGACTTGACGGACACGACGCACTCCGTCATCGTCAAGTGGACGATTTTTAAATTATTTCTTATCAACATGCGGAGCAACTTATCGGCAAATGTGAGACCCAAGCTAACTTCCCACCCATCATTGACCTTTGAACTTTTGCGGTAGGAAATTACAGTCCATCCATCAACCCGAATGGTGACTTGTACTCGGTCAGTGACCAGTTTGTCGCCAAGATTGGATTTGAAACGCTTAGGATTAGATTTATCCGTAGTATTGTAAAACAAAACTCGCATGAGCCACTCTTCACTTATCATTTTCATGTAGTCCGTGTACTGGTTGCGAAATCCGATGTCGAGGTCTAACTGAAAATCAGACAGCATGGGCAACCTGACATTGACACCAAGAGTAAAGTTCCAGGGTGAGGACGCTCCTCGAATTTTCACCCTTTCAAGCTTTATCGATTTCAGAGTCTGAAAAATTTGTGGGTTTGTTTGCAACATTTCGGTAAATATTTCCGGGCTGAGGGTGACATATTTCAGGATAAGTTCGTCCACTGGTTTATTTTCAGTTTGAAGGAGGACGTCATTCACGCTCAAATCGAGATAAGAAAATGCGTCGCCTTCAAGGATAATAATTTTTGATGATTTTGTCTTAGCTGCTCCGTCATTTTTACGGGTTTGTGAAAGTCCCAAAATTCCGGGTGGTGGTGTGTCCTCGGAAATTTGTGAATTTGATGAATCAAACTTTACTATAGCTGAAAATAAATTTTTACGTATTTAGGTACATAAAATTACATGATGAGTAATTATTCTACGTTTACCAAAAAGTGCTGCAACGACTAACGTAGTAACAAATGCAGATCTAAGAATCTGAATCTGCAAGGATTTGTTCCTGTAATTAATACTTGGAATATTAATCGTGATAAGAATTTGTCAATTCATTTGGGCTTTATCATACCGATGAATGATGTAAGTTTCAGGTCGTCTCAAGAGTAGTGCCATCATGGAACTTGCCCACTTTCTTTATTTATATTTAACAAACTCTTGTACAACAAATCCAAATCATGACTACAAATATTTTGTGCAGTTCAACATGCAACCAATATTTTAATACATAAATCAATAATAGGCCTATTTTATGGTCCATCTACCTAAATATAAATAAAACTATACACGTAAAACATCTCCTCAAGGTGACTCGCAGTCACGATCAAACTTTATCCCTGCGAGTTTAAACAACTTTAAAACGATACATAAGTACGTTATACGAATGAACATCCTTCTGGATAAACACAATAGAACAGCGTGCATGCAATTTCAGGATACAATTGACAAAATCTTTCTACTATGGTGTGTGTGTGACTGGGAACGTGTTATGTCACTTTCGTTCTTTCGTTCATGGCACAAAAAACCGGTATTTATACAACACAACTGGATCAAAAACTTGGAGCAGTGTAGGATGCATCAAATATTTAAAATCCGTAATAATTTTTGAGTTGTTTAGAATACAATTGTCAACAAATCTCAAACGTAGACCTATAGTATTTACTTATATAAAATATAGCATTTAAACTCCGATAGTAATTTTTAGTAATAATTCTAGTCTCACACTTTAGTCTTATGTTATTCTCACTTTAGTCTCATTCTAGTTGCATTTTAGTTTAATTCTAGTCTCACTTTGGTCTCACTTTAGTCTCATTCTAGTTGCATTTTAGTTTAATTCTAGTCTCACTTTAGTCTCATTCTAGTTGCATTTTAGTTTAATTCTAGTCTCACTTTGGTCTCACTTTAGTCTCATTCTAGTTGCATTTTAGTTTAATTCTAGTCTCACTTTGGTCTCACTTTAGTCTCATTCTAGTTGCATTTTAGTTTAATTCTAGTCTCACTTTGGTCTCACTTTAGTCTCATTCTAGTTGCATTTTAGTTTAATTCTAGTCTCACTTTAGTCTCATTCTAGTTGCATTTTAGTTTAATTCTAATCTCACTTTAGTCTCACTTTATTCTCACTTTAGTCTCATTCTAGTTTCACTTTATTCTCACTTTAGTCTCATTCTAGTTTCACCTTATTTATTACTATTACTAATCACTTGTAGTCAGTAAGTACAAAGTACAAATAGGATGATATAAACACAAATTCACAATATAATTAAAATTCATAGTACTTTTAAATGTAATAAATTTCGTTAAGTTTATCCCCTTTTGGGAGGGTTCCTAAGATTGACGCTACGTTGCCACGTTGTACTGTGATACTGAGTCGTTGGATGAGGAAAGTTGTAGAGCGTCGTTCTCCAGTCGCGGTGGTTATCCTTTGTCCAATGTCTTTAATGAAAGTTAACCCTTCCTGTCCCCATACTCCCGACGTCTCAATTGCAACGGGCACAAAAATGAATCGGTCCTGGAGAAAAGCGTAATATTTTTTCTTCTTATCTTCTGCTTTGGTGGCCGCAGCGCCTTAGTGGCGAACTGTGTTAGGGAGATGACTAGGGGCAAAAGTGTCCACACAGGTGAAATCCCACAGCAGGGATCTTCCTCTTGCCCAAGGGACGAGTGTCAAACCGTCTGGGTGTTTCCCATCTTGTTTGGAGCATCCGGTCGGCTCAAGAATGCAGGGTACTTCGGCGGAACGGAGCGCCCTTGCAATCACATCGTTGGCCGCGCCGTGGCGGGACCACCTACCAGCACATCGTCGGCAACTGAGCCCGTGATAGCCACGCGAAGTGACTTGTGCTCCGCAGGGGCAAATGTGGGGTTGACAAATGTCACAGCCAAGTCGAAGGGAAATGGCGATACGGAATGATTCGTCAGGGAGATGGGTCCCAAGTTGAGGTGACGGGAGGGCGTTGAGCCAGGCGCCAGCATATTTGTCACGTAGTGCATGATGGCGGGCGGTGTCTTCAGGAGTTGTAGCGTCCATCAAGAGCTGGGACAAAATAATGTCCAGAATTGGACGCTCCCATGCAGTCTGGACTCCTCTGACGGTTTCGGGAGGCAGTTCCGCGGGTCCAAAGGCAGACCATTCATCCTCTCCTTCTTGCATGGCGATATCAGTACCGTGTAAATAAACCGGAAGGAGACGTTCCATGTGGGGTAAGACGCTGTGGACGGACGCAAGAAAGCATGGTATCGCCACATCCAAAGCATGTCTAACTCCCAGGCCGCCTTCCTTCACGGGTAAAGATGACTGAATCCAAGCAGCATCAGAAAGAGAACAATTTAGGATCGCCTCCAGCGTGTTCTTTAGAATAGCATCATAATTACTGAGAGCGTTTAACTTTCTCCATGTAGGGGCGCAGCGGAGAAAATAAATGAGACGAGGAATGGAAATCGAAGCGCGAAGGAGAAAGAAAGCTGAGTGAGAGGAAATCTTGAAGAGACGTTCGGAGAAAGCTCTCAACTGTTCAGTTTTGGTTGTCAAAATCATCTCCATCGACTCGTTGGTGAGAGGGGCGCCGAGAAGCATTGCGGTGTCGGGGGACATCAATTGAATACCGGGAGCAGCTTGCTGGAATTGGAGGAATATGTCGTTAGCGGTGTCGCAGTCCGCCCCCAAAATCCCCAATTCACATTTGTCACGATTCAAGTGAAGTCCGACTTCTTCACCCATCCTTGCAATGGTCTCAAGTGCTATCAACACTTTCTCCGGAGTGTCTGCAACAGTTCCATCGTCGAGATACCACACGTTAAGCTCAGTGTCTAAAGCTGCGATGATGGGGTGAATCACGAGAGAAAAGAGGGAGGGGCCCAATGGATCTCCTTGATGGCAGCCTAGCAGAGACGGAAGTGGTATGGTGCCATAGAAGAGTGAAGACGGGTTGGCGTAACACTGAGATATAAATGGAAAAATTGAGGGAAAATGATCCCGAACAGCGCGGAGAAGAGTGTCCCGGCGTATCTCGTTGAACGCGTTCCTGAAGTCAATTTTCAAGAAAGCTTTAGGGGTGTGATGGGTGTGGTTATAGTAGACCCGAGCTGTGTGCGCCAATTTCTGCACCGTTTTTGATGCCCACTCCTAATTGATGTGGAGAAAAGTGGTTAATCAGTTGAGGGGTGATCCGAGACAGAACTACTTTGGCTGCAAGGCGACGCCACGAATTACCAACGGCAATGGGTCTAATTCCCCCTGACTTCTTCTTTAACGCCGTGAGCGACGCCCCGTAGAACAATGGGCAGATATTTTGAGGGATTCCACCGTTGAGAATCAAGTTGAGGAAGGCACAGATGGCTTCTTTGAGGTCATCACCATTTCCTTGACTGCATAGGTCCTTCAGAATCTGAGGCCGCATTCCGTCAAGACCACCTGCCGATCCTGGAGGGAAAGTTGAGATAGCTTTCAGCACCTCGTCCTCAAGTACTGGCATTACTAAAAGATCCTCTGGTGGTGACGGGAAATTGGTTGGTTGTGGGTGAGGTGGGTGTTTAGTGAGCAAGGCAGATAGAGTAATGTCATCATTGGGGGCAATGGTGTCATCGGAACATGCAAGACGAATTGCTCCGCGAATATCGCCATCCGCAAGTTTGGCCTCCACTTTCTTTGCGGTTGCATCATTTGTCGATTTAGTCGCTGATGGCCGAGGCGGACGCAATTGTGGGATGAAGAAATTGGAGTCCCATTCAGCAGTACGATTCTTGACCCAAGTGGTCAAATTCTTGACTTTGTCGGCTTTCTCGGGGACGGCAAGTGTGGCATATGTAAATAGGAGAAGCTTTCTCCAACTATCTTCCTCACCAGACTCGACAACCTCCTTTAAAAGTTTGGTAAGGCAGTTGGCGACAGCCATCCTAGCACCTCGAGGTACCCTCCGCAAAGTTGGTGTGGTCGTCTTGAGGCCGGCAAGGATGTCACCTAAATTCATTCCAGCTTGTTGCTGGGGTTCTGGCGTCGGCGCATCTTTCCACTGGATGCCCTCATATAAGTTGTGAGAATTGCCCCTCGAGCCTATGCGACGTGTTTTAATGCTGGGAAATGCAGATTTAATAAATTTCCCCAAGGTGGCTTGAGTAACTCCTGGATTTCCGGACTCGATTATAAATGTGGAATATTGAGCAAATATTTCGGTCTTGCTGATTTGTATTTTTGTTTGTGTATTGGGGTCGACAGAAACTAGGGATTGCTGTATCCACTGCTTTGCTGCTGCTGCTATTTCTTTCTTACTTAACCCAGACGTTGTAAGATGACAAGATGAAGTGGGTATGAATTGTGTTTGTGTGAGGAGAGTGACGCATCCTGGGCAAAACCAATCTTCATCTGGAACGACAATTAGTGCAACACATTTCAGATGATACCACTTTGAGCATTGGTCGCATAGTATCCAGTGATCTCCTGTAACGGTACTTGCTCCCGGACATGTTGGAATCGGGCAGTGGTCAGTTTCGATCTCTTGGTCGATTATTTCTTCTCGATTGGCTTCATCATCGTCCTCGTCATTTACTCCAGAAAAATTGGGATGGATAGCAGTTCGAGTTGTAGGGTTGTGATAATTTAGGTTCGACATTGACCTCAATTTTTTGTGTCTTTCGTCATCGCCCCCGCTATCGGTGTTTCACCTCAGTTTCACCTCAGTCTCACTTTAGTCTCATTCTAGTCTCACTTTATTCTCACTTTAGTCTCATTCTAGTCTCACTTTATTCTCACTTTAGTCTCATTCTAGTTTCACCTCAGTCTCACTTTAGTCTCATTCTAGTCTCACTTTATTCTCACTTTAGTCTCATTCTAGTTTCACCTCAGTCTCACTTAAGTCTCATTCTAGTCTCACTTTATTCTCACTTTAGTCTCATTCTAGTTTCACCTCAGTCTCACTTAAGTCTCATTCTAGTCTCACTTTAGTCTCACTTTAGTCTCTGAGGAGTCAATTTGAGACTGCAATTTTTTTGGTGGTGCGATGGGGATGCCACCTCGCAACTTGGAGCAGATGTAAGATTTGAAGGTGCCGGTATTTGAATAAAATTGTAACCTCATTTTCATTCACACACCAGACAGTCACAGTAGTCACACACTTTCACTTCTCACTTCACTTTTTAATTCCTAATTTCCTCAGCTGCTGTTTGTTAGTGCTGTCACTACTAAATTATTTCAATTTGAAATTTAAGAGTTGTTAAATTTCCAGACTATCATTAGAAAATTTGTGTGCTTTCCTAAAATTGCTGGTGTTCCAAGATCTCGACTTAAGTTATTGCTGTAAAAGGTAAAGTAAAATTTGTAAATTTTCAGAAAATCTGTTGCGTTTTTTTATTTACACTATTTGTAAGCTTTTTTGAAATTTTAAGTGGTGCGATGCGGGCTATAATTTAGGAAATTGCTGTAGAAAAAGCTGCTAGATGTTGGATTTAAATTCTTTGTTTTTATTTATTTTTAATTTTAATATGTAGGTCACTGTTGAGCCTCTTGAACTCGCAAGGTTAACGGTCAGTGAAGGAAATTTCTGTTTCGAACAATCATGGCGGACGACGATTGGGGTAAAATTTAAATTCGTTAAAAATTTTTAATTCCAGATTGTTATGCACAGGTGTTTAAAATAAAAATAGTAATAACAACTTTGATTTCTCTTTTAGAGAGTAGAAACTTTGAAGAGGAAGACCTTTCAAAACTAAAAGCAGTAAAACCTCCCGGAAAAGTGGATAAATGGGATGGCGAAGATGAGGAAGAACCTGTCAAGGTAAGCTAAACAGTGAGTTTTAAACACTATTCTTATGAAAAAACTGTTAGAAAATTCTAATGTGAACTATAATTAATATTCAGGACAATTGGGATGATGACGAAGAAGCCAAAAGTGCTGCGGCGCCTGGCGGTGCAAAGTCAGCCGCTGAAGCCAAGAAGAAGAAACGACTCCAAGACGCAATCGCTGAGAAGGAGGTCTGTTTGGATTAACCCATAACTTATTTATTTTTGACACGTTACATAAATAAATAAACTAAACGATAATTCCAATTTTGCATCATTCAGAGGAAAGCAGAGTTACAACGGTTGGAACGAGCCAGGGCCAATATGACGCCTGAAGAACTTGCGGCAGAAAAAATCCGCCAACAAAAACTCCAAGAGGAAGTTGAACTCGCCATGGTCAAAAGCACCTTTGGTAATTATTATTACATTTTAAAGGGTGACGGTAATTTATTGAAGTAGCAACAAACAATCCACTCATTGGAATGCTATTTTTGCTGCCCAGGGTCAAACGAGGTTGATGTTGTCGATCCGATGACGAAAGATGATTTTGACGCCCTGCGCAAGAAGATCATTGGTGATTTGAGGAAATTTGAGAAGCGAGTACCCTTTGAGGATTTTCTAGAAGATTTTATTCAAGATTTATGTCTCTCGTTGCCTTCCAAACGTCTAAAAAAAGTCAAGGCCACCGTAGAAGCCTTATACTTTGAGAAAAACAAGGCGGAGAAGGCGACAACCGCGACGAAGGGGAAGAGGACAGGTGGAAAGGTTAAACTCACAGTGGAATCAGATATTACAAATGTCGAAGTTGGCTACGAATTAGATGATTACGATGACTTTATGTGACAGTGTGTTTATCAACATAATTCAGCAACAGCAAAAGTCAATGTCAATGTCTGTTATCGAGTTTCGCCGTCGTCGATAAAGCAATCGCTAACATATATTATTATTCCGGCTGGTTCATTATTAATACAAATAAGAAACGTTAATTATTCAAATAATTTTTGCTAATGTTCAAAAACTGCAAAGTTTCATTTGTTGAGTGAATTATGAGAAATTAAAAGTGGTTATAATAAAAAATACGGAAGAGAATCCTACAGCTTTGAATTTGTTTTAGCAAATTTTTATTTGACTGATCATGCATTTGTATAGTCCAATCCAGGATTAAGTATCATGTAGGACTTCCCTGTTCCGTGGGACGGTTGATGGTTGAGCAGATTCGTTTGGGGGGGAAGAGGTCATTGAGGAAGTCGCCCATCTGGCACAGACTGACGCCGACTTAAGAGTGCGGGATGCCGCCAAGAGGTTCCTTCTCAAGGGGAAGGAGGGGGGACAGATGCACGAACAACTCACCCTTAGATCTAACAGATTCCAAGGGCTACTCGCCAACTAATAATATATTAAACCCTGAACTAATCATCCAAGGACTACAGCCTAAAAATCAATAATCTATGTATCTTGTATTGGATTTATGTATCGACAAATGTAGAGCACTACAATATCAGAAAAAATATGCCAGTTGGTTCTTCTTCAAATATTATAATACTAATTGGGGGAATACGTCCACTCCTGAACCATACACACCTAAAAACATTCAGTCATTATTATTCCAGGAGACAAAAAACATTTAAAAAACAATGATAATAATCCAAACCAGTATGTGTGAAGATGATGATGGAGAATTAGCTCAATAATAAAAGTACCTTATTCGATAATGCAGTTATCTTTGTTGCTTCATGATGTCTCACTTTGTCCTCTCGTCTCATAATATTCATCATGATGAAATTGTACGTACGGCCGTACAAATGGCGAAATCTGGTTGAAACGTAGTTTGTGTAACGTCGCATGTCATCTAGCGTTTGCTTGGTTTACACACATTGAGGATTTTGTGAATCATCTGCTTCGTAATAATAAACCCATAAGAACACCCACCGTAGAATGGATGATTAATTAATGGAAGAACAATCTCTCGTTAACAAAACTTTTAACACCCTTCAAGACCAGGACACCTTACGCATTATCTTCTATTCTTATATTGCCATATTTGTTTCCGTTATAACTTTGTCTGTCCTTGGAGCTACACTTTGGGAACATTGGAACCGACGAACAAAATAGGTAACCATTTGCTTATAATTTTTGTATTTATTTATGACTTATCTATCATTACTTTTTATACAGAGAACGACAACAACGGCACCACTAATAAACGCAAGAAAAACAAAAAACAAAATTAATACCAGAGTGAACGATTGAGTTTAAACCTCTCCATTCTCCATTAGTTCAGTTTGCGAAAGTTCGTAAATTATATAAACAAAATAAGTAAGAAGAAATGGCGACCCGAAAGAAAGTGCTCCTCAAAGTTATCATCCTTGGGGATTCTGGCGTCGGGAAAACGTCCCTCATGAATCAGTACGTCAATAAAAAGTTCACAAATCAGTACAAGGCAACGATTGGAGCTGATTTTCTCACTAAAGAGGTCATGGTCGATGATAGGCTGGTCACCATGCAGGTAATATATATGCAACATAAAATAAATTGACCTTTGTACTTGCACAGTCATTAATCTTGAAAATGTGTCTAAATTGCAGATTTGGTAAGAACAACTACACTTATTCAATTCAACACTTTAATCGTGTCGAAAGTTTCGAGCAATAATGTAAATCTTTGTAGGGATACTGCTGGTCAAGAACGATTCCAATCTTTAGGTGTGGCCTTTTATCGTGGAGCTGATTGTTGCGTGTTAGTTCATGATGTTACTGCCCCCACTTCCTTCAAATCACTGGACTCATGGAGGGACGAATTTCTCATCCAAGCCTCACCCAGAGACCCGGATAATTTCCCTTTCGTCCTTCTCGGAAATAAAGTGGACCTCGAGAATCGTGCTGTAATTGGCTAAACTTATTTAACAAATCGTTAATATCAAAATTCCCGTGCCAGATCTAATATTTTCTATTATATTCGTCGTCAGGTTCCTCAAAAGCGTGCAATGCAATGGGCCGCCTCCAAAAACAATATGCCATATTTTGAAACGAGGTATTTGGATAAAGTTTTATGGTCCACTTTAATGCTACCTTAAGATTTATTATTTGTTTTTATGGTTTCAGTGCTAAGGAGGGGATCAATGTTGAACAGGCATTTCAAACTATAGCAAAGAATGCCTTGGCACAGGAAACAGAGGTCGATATTTATAACGAGTTCCCAGACCACATCACCATCAATCCAGATTCGAGAAATGTTCGCAATGATAACTGCTCTTGTTGAGCATAGATAAGCTTATGAAACCCAAAAAAATACTTATAAACGTCTTCACTCGCTAGATATAAATATATTAATTAATTAATTATAAGCTAAAACTATTTGTTTGTGACACGACCAATGTAATCATACGAAATGATTGATTAATTCCCGATAAGTACCATGGTAGAAATATTGTGTTTGTCGTAGCTTATAATTAGTTTACTTTACTTTTGAGTCAGTTCCTTATTTGTCATTCGTTTATAATCACATAAAAATCGGAAAAGATGTCGAATCGAATAACGACTTGTTTCAATACTTATGCAATACTGTATACACTTACTATTTTTCACGGATCTAATTTATACCATTATAAGCCTGTGTTATTATATATGTATGTAGGTATTATTGTAACTTGTAACTCGCTGTATGAAATAATTATGTATCGAATAAATTGAGAAGAACGAGAGGAATTTAACTAAAGCTATTGTTTCTAAAATACTGCAGACATTTATGGATGAGAAAGCAGTGATATAATTTGGAATTTAATACTGACTAAAAAGCAGAAAGGAACTCGTCGTTTGTAACGCACAATTATATAACCCACAAAACCATGATAATCTCATTTTCAATCATGCAGAGATAGGATAAAACACTCTAAATATATATGCATCAAGCGACGACGATGACCAAGACCAAACTAGAAGATAAACCACTCGTCTCATTTGAAATGAGTCATTTCATCTTGAAAAATGCTTTTTTAAAAGCTCTCGTCCATCAAAGCAAAGAATGATCAAACTTTCATCATCAACAGTCATTGCATAAAATTGTTTCCTAGGGTTGTCGAATGTAGCTCATATTGAAATTATTGCAATCTTGAATTTCAAAAAAATATTTACTCAATTTTCAATGATCATCATTACCCTTAAATACTTTGCAGTGAATTCTTTAAACTAACAGCCAAGTAAGCGTCCCTCCTGAATAACTTGCCAAAACTCAATATGAAATTTCATCATGTTATGCACCCTCTTTCAGGACATGGACGCGTGTCGCTTTGATTTTAAGGTCACCGACAGTGATTTCGACATCCATGGGGAGAAGGCGGGCCAATGTGAGGACGACAAACGGGATTGGGAGGAGGACGACGAGGAGGAGGAGGAAGGCGACGATGAAGAGGCAGATGGCGAAGAAGAGGAATTTGAGGAAGAAGGATCGGACGGCTACAATCTTCCCCAGCAACCTTTGGAATCTGGAGACAACTGGTACAACGAGCTCAATCCCCTCTACCGCCCCCCACTCGTCACCCCTCAAGAACAATACTACGAGGGGCTCGGAGGTGGACAATCTAAACAGTTTCGTACCGATTACCCTGCCGAACTTCGGCTCAAGAAGGTGTGCATCCCCAAAGCACCACGACGATTCAAAACTGTCGACAACTACAAGACGGATCCAGTCGCTTCATTTTCTCCGGTGAGCTCCAAAATCCGTCTCGCACCAAAAAAGAGGGAGCCCAGTTTCCCCTCACAACCTGTGGATCCGACGCCTACGCCTAACACGGATATGAGCATGGCAGAGCCACCACCACCACCGTGTCAAAAGACGGCCCGCGACCCTCCCCCCATTGTGTCAGTGAGTGACGAAATCGTCGTGAGCTACCTACAGGACCACAACATTCAAATGATGTTTGAATACTTTTTGGGGCTTTGCATCTTGAACACGCCAGCAGATCCGTTTCAGTATATTGCCGACTTGGCAGACAAGTTGGCCAGGGGGCGAGAGAGTGAGGCTGCCTTCAATGAGATCCCTCGCCTATTATCAGCTACCCATGTCAAGTCCATGTTTCGCCTCTATGACCGAGTGGGGTCTGGTTTCATGAGCCACTTCCAGTACAAAAATGCCATGGGGTCGATTGGGCTGGTAAAATATACTCAAAATCCGAGCGGCTACTTGAACGACGAAATTACTCAAGAGACATTTGTAACCGAGGCGGAGAAATGGATTGATGATCTCCTTCGAACTTTCCTATTCAAGAGAGGCGAAGATGAACCCCAGTGCTTCTAAACGTAACTGTATATACGTAAATGCTGTTAATTTGAGATAGATACGTTAAATACACAAGTTTACAGTAACTCATATGTCATCATTGGATTTATTACAAAAAGGGACCATTCTTCACACATAAATTTGGGGTTATTATATTTCACAGCGTTAAATTAATTACGCATCGAATGCAAAGGTAAATTAGAAGTAGGAATTATTGGATCGCATAGAAAAGCGGAGATTTAAAGTGAACGAAGCGATCAGCCTTTACATGTTTTAATTACTTTTTGGTCTTTGGAGGACGTCCACGCCCTCGTCCAGTACTTCCGGCCGGTTTCTTCTTGGAAGCGGTAACTTTAGGTGCTTCAACTTTCTTCTTCTTTGACTTTGGGGCTTCATCTTCGCTGACATCTTCCTCGATGTCTTCATCATCGTCCTCTAGATCCTCAACTTCATCATCGACTTCAACAGGGGCTGCTTTCTTAGGTCTTCCCCTTCCTCGGCTGCTACTGGGTTTCTTGACGGGTTGTGACTTTCGCTTTTTGGACTTTGGGACTTCATCCTCCTCGACGTCATCTGCCTCATCTGTATCATCGTTGTCATCATTCTCTTCAACAACAACAGGAGTTTTGCGTGGGCGCCCGCGACCATTGCTAGCAGAAGCAGTAGCTAACAAAATGTTCAAAATTCAATTATTTGACCATTGGGATAATTATTTATTGTCAGTATTCACATATTTTTTTTACATACATCGGCTAACAAATAGAAAATGATTTTTATCAATCAAAAATGCATAGTTAATTAGGTTAAAAGTGCGAAACTCTACCTTTTCCATTCTTCTCAGCACCGGCATACTTTTTTTCCAAGTCGTCGAGGAAAGTATTCCTGCCGGTAGCATTTCTTGCTATGGCATTTTTGAGACCTTCAAGACCATTATCAAGTTTCATCTCTTTTCTGAGCTCTTCCGCCTCTGCGGCTTCTTTCTTGGCCTACGCAGCAATAATTATTCCTTATTTCATTTTTGAATTACAGATTGTAGTATTTAAACAAAATAATTTACCACCATACCTTCTTTATTTTCTTATCTCGAACCTTCTTATCAACTCCTTTTCCCAACTTGTCCATCTCTCCGTCCTCAATCAAGCCATCAATTATATTTTGCACGCGTTCCTCATCATCAAGAATATTGGCAAAGAAGAGATTTTCTATGACGTGGAAAATGTCGCCTTTTCCTTCTTTATAGAGGCGTTTAACATCATCCTTCTCCTCGTCAGAACCTGAATAGGCAAGAACGATTACAATAGGCCATTTAAACAAAATACAGATTTAAACCAATATAAATATATACCCAAATATCCCTTTTTGAAATCGAGAATAGTTTGTTCATCGAGTGTGCGGAAGCTGCTGTAATCCATGACAAAATCTTCTTTGTCTGGCCATTCTCCTGCGAATTACAGAGTGCATTCGTTACATGTTGATTACAAATGCTGAATATCTGTGAAAATTCGTCACTAATTATCAACCTGTTTCATCATATGACTTTCTTAAATCTGAATCTTTCAGCAATTCATAAATCCGAGTGATGACTTGAAATTGTTGAGTTTTCGTTTCTCGTTCATCCTCTGATGCTTTGTCCGGATGGTACTTCAAAGCGGCACGAAGATAACCAGATTTCACTATAAAATTAGAATTCTCATTAATTTTCAATTATGCAACATAATTCTGTAATTGATGTTGATATTCACAATTTTGACTAAAAAGACACGAATCAAGAATAAGGTAAAAGAGATTTTTTTCTTACGAGCTTTCTCATCTCCAGCCTTGTCCGCAGAGATGTTCAAGATTTTGTAGAGGTCGGTGGTAGCAAATAATTTTTCGACGAGATCCATTTAAAAATTATTTTTTAGAGAAAAAGTTGAAAAAAATGAAAATTTTAATTTATTTCGTATTTTGCAGAGTGAGAGTGAGGGAGCGAACAAAGAGATGCCGGGTTAGTCAACTTCAAATCCCACCAACAAAATCGGGGCAACTTTGTCGCAGAGAGGCAAAATCATTTAGTCAAAAAGTTCAAAATGTACACATTGCAAAAAATATTGCTGCTGACTTGGAATTTCAATTTCTTACGATAAGGTAAAGTGGAAAGTTGGACAATTTACTATAAAACTCGTACGAATTTTTCATATTTTACTTATTAATTTGGCAAGTTTATATATGACGGTGAAAAGAACATTATTACTGCGCGAGCTGTGAAATAATTTGTGCGTTGGTTGTTTGAGAGGGTGACTAATAAATTAATCATCGCGAGTGCATAATTATAATTAATTGGATAGGTAAAAAATATCAATTAAATAAGTCGGGTTGGACGTGGTAAATTAGATAACTTCTGTCTTGTTAGAGGTAAGACTCACTTTTTACTTTGCACAGTGCAAAATTTTGATTAAAATATATAATTTTAATTGATGTAAAAAATTATTAATTTAACTATTAAATTTTTACGTTTATTTTTTAGCTTTAAAGAAGTCAGTCACAAGAATGATCAAACGGAAAGGATGAGGAGCTTTGATATGCAAATACAGAATATGAACAAGGCTCTAAACACATAAGCTACTGATTAGAAATTCTAATTTAGAATAGTAATCAAGCAATTTGAGTTGAAAAGATGTCGGCCACCACATTCCGTTCAGTTAGACGCAACGTCCCATACTTTCAAAACGAGATGAATGCATTACTTGGGAATTTAAGCTTGTCCGTGAAATCTATTTGCATTTGCGTCATCTGTACATATCTCCTGTCCTACTGGTCGCCTGTAGTGAGTGCATTTAGCGTCACGCCAGGTCATCTGCTGCCCCCCTCGTTCAGAATATGGACCCTGTTTACGAGTCCGTTTTTGGAAATTCACTTGTGGGAGGTCATTGTGGACATTGCAACTGTAGGATTGTGTGGTACGTAAGACTAGCGCTAGTGCATTAATAAATGTATGGTATCTGGTGAAATTGTGGGCATTTTTATAGGGAAATTGATCGAGCCATTATGGGGCCCGAAGGAAATGAGGTATGCTTTATAATTATCTAAATCATTAACAAAACATAACTTGCATTGAAAACGTTTAAAGATGTAATGTGATAATATGATAATATGTTCCAAGTATTTTGTAAATTGCAGTTTCTTCTTTGTCGTTGCAAATCTAAGCGTTACTATCTTGAGTGTCATGTATTATCTGTTCTTGTACACGGCCACGTCAGATCCAGATACGCTCTTTTCCATACAAATTCACGGATTGGCTGGATATATTGCTGGTAAAGTATCTGGACGCTTAAGTTTACGGATATGATAACGTTAATGGGTTTAATGAAGGTTTATTTGTTTTGTTTTTATACAGCCGTAACCGTTGCAGTGAGACAAATTATGCCTGACAATGTCATTTTCAAAACACCGCTTGGCAAATTGACAAATAGGTAATCACTATTTTTGTACTATATAACCCACGGTCAGTTCGTATTTTAAAAAATAAAATACTTATTTGCAGGAACGTTCCATTGACAGTTTTGATAACTTCAATAATCGCGTAAGAATTTATAAGATAACTCTCTTGTTTGCCTATATTTCCAATGTTTAAGCTTATACTGTCTATCGTCACTGACAGATGGGCGATCGGACTTTTGGAAGGCGTCTACTGCACCATGTTTGGAAGCGGAATCGTATTCTCATGGATCTATCTCAGATTTTACCAGAGACACAGCAACGGCACGAGGGGGGATCACGCCGAGAATTTTAACTTTGCTAGTTTTTTCCCGAACGTAATTCAACCCGCAATCTCCGTCATTGCTAATTCGATATTTAGCGTATTCGTCAAAATTGGATTGTGTCGAAAACCTGTGAAAAGATTTACGGATGCGAGTGGCCCATCGTCAATTCAAATTAGCATAGCTGGAGAATTGACGGATGCTGAGCGTAGACGGTAAGGCAGAATAGCATTATCACCAATTATATGTATGTTGATACCTAGAAAGACTGGATCTGTGTATTTATTTTGTATATTCATTTATCCAGGCAAAAAGCATTGAAACTGTTAAACGAACGATTGACAAGTGGTGCAAGCAAAGACGAAGCGAAACGTCCCCTTCTTCGACAAGACAGTCAAGATGATAACAACGGTGCAAGTACTTCTACACGATCCACCCTTCCCGCGAGTTCGAGTTCGCCGAATTTGTCGAATGCAAATGTTGCTTCGAGTTCGCGAAATGCAGGAGAGAGTGTCGTTGTTGGAATTGAATCATCACCTGCACTGTGATTTTTTTATTACACCCTTCACAACAGAATAATCTAGATCCCACATTATAAACCCCCTCCCTCCCGTGGATGTAAAGGTCAGAGAAACACGTCTGTCACAGTATATCAAATTCTCAACTTTATTATCTAATAAATATGTTATTAATTAACATGCGACTAAGTCAAAAAAATTACAAATTGTTGGTCAATTACATATCTATTTTACGCATGTACAATGCAGTATTTGTTATCTTGCAGATCTACCATAATCATAAATGATACTGTGCCTGTAAAACCAATAATAATGATGCATAAATCTCTTAAATGAAATTAAACTATGCATAAAATTCTCGTACCAGTGTCTTTCAGCGTGTCCATCATTGCTTTGTGATTCACGTCGTCTTTGCACTGAGGATGTGCATACAGTCGAAATTCACGAAGCAACTCGCTAACCCCTGTCTGATTTTGTGGCGGAGTTGTTGGGAGGTATTCAGTGGGACTTTTGGGTATTTGATCTCCCCGTGACGACCCACTTCTGAGGTCGTAGTGATTATGACTATTGTAATTGTAGGGATATCCAGCACCATGACTTCCACGTTGGCCTGATGGTCCTTGGACACCTTGAGATCCCTAATTACACCGCGTTACAATTAACTCCAAGTAAATGTACACAATAGTGACTAAAATTGCTTGCATACTCGAGCTCCAATTCCTCCAGGCGACCCTCTTTCCCCCTAAAATGGTGCACACAGATTAATAATTCTGGTTGTTTATTGGGTTCATCTCATTTAGAAAATGTGCATGAAAATCGTACCGGACTTCCTCGATTTCCACTTTCCCCTGGAGAACCTCTCTCTCCCTAAAAATAAGTTCAAGTCAAACAGTTATTCTGAATTGTGGTAAAGTTTATTAATATCCGTAATATTATCCGTAAAAATAAATCGTACCGGACTTCCTCTACCTCCAACTTCCCCGGGGGAACCTCTTTCTCCCTAAATTCCACATTATTGTTTCTGTTATGGTAAAAACTTTGTCATGCTTATTATTAAACTCGTAATCTCACTGGACTGCCTGGATATCCTGCTTGTCCCGCTTGTCCTGGAGGACCCCTCGCTCCCTAAACATGTCACACATTTGCATACTAATCATGCATACTAATCAACTTTTGGTTAATTTTATATTGAAATCTCACCGGACTTCCTGCTTGACCTTGACTCCCTGCTTGGCCTTGAGCCCCCGCTTGACCGTGAGCCCCTGCTTGTCCTGGAGAACCACGTGCACCATCATAATTCCAGCTCCACACATTCCTTTCAGTGACGCTGTTGGAAGTGAATTCCACGGAAGGCCCCTTTCTCCTCCGACGTCTCAAGCACCCTGAAAATTACAGGATTTCAAAAATGGTAAGAAACGTATTTAAGAAAACAAACAAACCTTGAGGACAATATTGTCCTTCGCCAGACCCCTCTCCATTCCATTGCCACCCGTCGTAGCGAGATGATGCACGCTTATCAATCTTATGAAGCTCTTCTTCTCCTCCTCCTCGTAGTAAATTACAATTTGCACCAATTTCAATATCTCCCCTAATTTTGTGCAATCGTCCATTCATGCTGAAAATTATTCCCATCTGAATGCACACAATGATCACGAGATAAACGCACAAAACGCTGAGATACTGAGCCACTCTTTTGTTCTTTATGTCTTCGCCGTGTTCGACAAGTTCCGACTTCTCGGTGACCATTTTACTTTATTTTTCTTTAAAAAAAAATACTCCGGAAGAAAATTTTTTGACGAAAACTTGCCATCCAATCCAACCACCACCAAGAGTGGTAAAGTTAAACTAAATAGGCATAAAATTGGTCAGACTCAGACAACATAACGGATATCACCATATCAAAATACATTTATGTTGTCTCAAGGCTGATAATAAATAAATAGATGAGTCGACTCTCATGATCTGGAAGAAGAAAGGTCATGAACGAACGAACAAGCACAACTGCTCAATATGCATAAATATGTAACTTCTTGAGTCATTCATGGTATATATACATACACGTTGACAATATTTGTTTATGAACGAGAAAACTTGTAAAAATTATGAATTCGATGAATGGAGTTATTATGTAAATAAAATACGTTGGGTTATCCATCTACAGTATTAATAAAAACAAAATCCATTCCACATTTCCTATAATAAAATACATAAATACATATATAAATGAGTCAATAACTTTCAGAGATGCATCAACTTATCATGACATGATTCGTTGGACTTTTCCAACCTTTATTGTTTCTCATTATGCAACTAATTCTGCCAGTGGCCCCGGAAGCCATGATGGGCGACATGAATAACCGTAGGGACATTGTTCCTCTGTCCCCCACGCTTCCGAGACCACCAACAAAATTTTTAGCGGTGCAAAAATTGCAGGGCATGCAGACCAGACTTATTTGATCCTTATGTAGAATTAAATATGTCTTTTTCATACATTTTGTGGTGACAATATTGGTGTGAGTGTGCATGCATGTGCGTGTGGTAAACAAATTGTTTAACAACCGCAGCTCGATGTCTGTTTTTTATTTTAAAATTTATTTACATCGTAACGCATGGCAAACCATCTTTTTGTTGACAGCAGCAGTATAGCAGCAGCAGTACCAGATCCTTTGAAAATTAACAAAAATGATTGCCGTAATTTAATTTGGCATGCACTGTTTGTGTGCATCCGATCTATTCTCCCGTGCGCTACAAGTGTACTTTATTTTGCAAACGCCGATTTTGAAATCAACAACGCAACGCCCAACAAAAGGAATGGGACACAATTTAAGTCAGCAGTAGTTTGCAAACGGGAATTGATTGTGAGTCTTAATTTCTCGATCTCATTTTTCTGATTTCCGTCAGTCCCACAACACAATCCCATAAGAAAGCACGAAGCCAAGAGTCAAAAGCATGCGGTACACAGAAGTAGAAAGATAACAATAGTTAGTTAGTAACAATTGGACACATTTCTGAAGCATCTTGCAAAAAAAGTGCACAGTCTCATTTCGTGCATGGTCTCTCTTCATTATTATTGCACTGCTCTTGTATCATCCTCACACACCGGTAAATAATTGTGACACCACGACCCAGCCCCCATAGATCTTTAAAAAGGAGACGATGCGATCTACTTTTTCATGTGCGTACCATTATAAGATGCACGAATAGACTTTTTTGCCAATTAAAAGTAATAATGTCACCTCGTTCATCTTGTTCTATCTCAGTCCACCGCCTACACATAGCTACATACACTTAAATGCATGGTTGGGTTTAATTCGGTCTGTCGGTGGGTGAGGAGAAGTGTTCAAATAAGTAATTTATGTCAAAATTAGATTAAAAGAGGAAGGCCAAAATAAATCATTGTACGTGGTAAAAATTTTGTCACGTACGTGGATAGTTGGCTGCATGCATTTTTAGTTGAATTTTTACCGTGGCAGTTACATGATCTATCTATTTCTACCTTTGAAAAATTAAAACTGCATCCCCATGGTGGAGAAATACCCGGATAATTTAATTCTGATGAAGTTGCTCTCACCAATTTCTGAACTTCCATTAACAGCCGTGGGAGACTTTCCGATAAGTTATCGAAATCTTTTGGAAGGGACGACGCCGAGGTGGAAGGCGTTGCAGGTGGAGGACAGTGGCGGTGGCTTAAGAAGTCATAAAGTGGTCACGACAAGGAGAAAGTCGTGGAGTTATATTCATCCAGCGACGCCCACTGCGGATCATCGAAAAGGCTTCGCCTCGACGAGAGCGTCATTTGAGGAAGCAAATCCTGCCGTATTTCCATTTACGATGGCACCCACGCCCACCACGACCACGACCCCGACTTGGCTTCACAAGGTCCACTTGCTCCGGGAGGATAGTAATAACGATGCGAAGAGTTTGTCCATCAGTGGCACTGATCTCACATTTGTGGTTCCTTTCATGATAGTACTGGCAGTTGTAGGAATGGTATGTACATAGATATACTTTAAATTTTCTCGCGTACTGAAATATTTACATGTAAAATAATGAGATTTGATTTTAGATTTTACTCTGCGTCCGACGACGACAAAGATTGGAAGATCTTCGGCACAAACTTGTCCCCATTTATCATTTTGCTCCTGGAGAGGAGGATGACGAATTTGCCTACGATAAGGACACAGACCCATGGAAAGAATACTGGTCATCGCATGAATCTCGTAAAAATCAACGTTAAACAACGTTTAGTTAGAGGTCCAAAATTTTTGAGCGAATTGAGTCAAATGTGATTTATTTACGTTAGGGAAACATTATAATTATTATACTTCCAAAACATTGAAAATCTACGTGATAAACTTGAGGAAAATATATTTCAAAAGATTTTTTGATTTGTGGTGATTGTTTTGTTCATACTTTTTTTCTTTAAACCGTATCCGGAATATCAAACATAAAGTAGATCATTTGATGTGGTTTAAAGTTTGGATTTAAGTTTGCCCATTAGTTTGTCTAGAACCATGGCTTTGGTGATGTCGCCTTTAACTTTAAGTTTTCCCATCATGTATCTGCAAAACATACATTTATGTAAACGTGTAAACGTGTACTTAATATTTTATAGTAGACCGGATAAAGTAAACTCACGCAGAAGTGGGGCTAAGTTTTCCAGAAAACAGCTTCACAAAATCAGCTTGGCTAACGGAAATGGTCACATCAGATTTGTTTGGGGATTCACCTGTGGGAAAATGCATATACGAATCAGCAAGCACGCCCAATGTCGATATCCTTTTTAATTCTTTCGCTACCCTTTCCAGTGGATCCTTCACCATTCTTCAGGTCCAGGAAATACATGCCGCCGTCGTCACCTATAAAATGTTATTCAGACATTAATAACAGTTTTTATGTTTCATTCGGATAAGTCTTCTTTTTAAACCTTTCACATCAAACTGGAAAACAGCGTTGGTTTTCTTGATCATATCGGGATCCACGAGTCCTTTAATTTTTGAAAAGATTTGGACAATTTCGCCTCCTTCATCGCCACCTCCTCCAGATGGTGCAGCAGCAGCTGCTGGAGGTGGTGCAGATTTGCCCATCGAAGAGGCTGACGTTACAGGGGTTGCCTTTCCAGTGAGCTGAATTTTGTATTGGCTACTGTGAACTGTATCAAGGCTTTCCAGGAAGAAATCCGGCATAAGTTCAGCATCTGCAATAATAAGTAAAATATAATAATAGATAATGCCAGCCACCAGAAGTGTGTTAACTCTGAAATTATCAAGTACCCTTGTCATATTGGTACGGTGTCAAGTCAGTGATTCCTTCTTCCTTCATTACTTGTTCATCAATGTAGAAATATCCGGTGGCTTGCTTGCTGTCTCGGCACAGAATAGAATATGCAGCGTCTGCAATAATGTCGGGCGATCGACACTGCCTTTTAGCGTCAGCTCCACCCAGAAGCATTTCAATGGCGGCCGTGTATATTCCGGTTGCTGCATAAAACAAAATACATAAGAGTAAATATTAATTGTGGATTATGCAATATCTTATCTTGCAATTTAGAGCAAAGAAATGTTACCTGGCCAAAGACAATTGGCAGCGATACCCTCGGGTTTAAATTCTTCAGCCCATCCAAAAGCGTAGAGACTCATGTTGTATTTCGCGATGGTGTAGGCAACGTTGTTTTGGAACCAACGTGGTTGCAAGCTCAAGGGGGGCGAAAGGTTGAGAATGTGTGGATTCTTCCCCTTCTTCAAGTAAGGAAGGCACATCTTTGTTCTGTTGATCGAGAATTAACTAGGTATTTATTATTATCCAAGTAATAGTATCGTTAATTCCTAATAATAATATTAAACCACATACACAAGGAATGTTCCACGTGAGTTAATTTGATGCATCAGGTCGTATCGTTTCATATCCGTGTCCAACGTCTTTGTCAAATTGATGGCGCTGGCATTATTAATGACTGAAAGCAATTAAGACGAATATAAATTAAAAAATAGGAACAATAAAATTATTAAATTTATTCGTCTCTTTACCGATATCAATTCCTCCAAATTCTGCCACTGCTTTTTGAACGGAATCAGCCACTTGTTTTTCATCACGAATATCCACCAAACAGGGGAGAGCTCGTCCTCCAGCTTCTTCAACTATTTAAACATCAGAATTAGCACAGAACATTAAAATTGAGAATTGCTCGAAATAATTAATCTATAATTTCATTCATACTTTCTTTCGCAACGGTATAAATCGTTCCAGGAAGTTTGGGATGAGGTTCACCAGTCTTCGCAGCGACAACGATGTTGACCTTGTCCTTTGCCAATTTTAGGGCAATTGCTCGACCAATCCCTAAAAAATCAAATGCAGAACACACTATAAAATCAATACGATCGAAAATCAAAATTTCTCAAAAATTAACTTACCTCGGCTAGCTCCAGAAATATAAGCCGTGCGACCGGCAAGTTTCCTAGATATGCCATACAGGAGGAGTAATTAGTTATCACAAATTACAAATTTTAACGTGAACTTTTAAAATAATGATTGACACCTCTTACCCAGTATTCTGAATAAGCGACATTTTCACAAAATTTCACTACAAGATGATGACCAAGCACAAATTAAGTAAGGACAGGAATCTAATGCAGAATGATGATGATAAATAGAACTGCCCCACACTAAATAATGGACAGTTAGGTAATTTAATCATAAACTGTACTGAACCCTCCACCAATATTGGATGTTTAATGTGATGATCCGATGTTTGTTTATTATGTCAGTGCAACTTGTACTAGCTGATCCAAAGTCCAAGTTCCAAGCCGGTGGTGTAATACGCGACTGTTACGCAATACTTACCGTAGATGCCAGCCACAACAATGGAAAATGGAACAAAGGGTATCAAAGCTATGCAATTTAATAATTAATTATTTGCCCAGTTATCAATTTATTTTGTGTATACTGCATTTATTAACTGCTGGTCATTGAAAGACTAAAATTGGATAAGTCAAAACAAAAGTAGTGCAAAAATAACAAGTTCGAGTAATTAGTAAATTTGTCAGAATATATAAAAAAACATGACAAATAATTTGAGTTTAGTTGAGATTCTGCTACATAAATTTCAAAATAAATACATTTTTCTGTTAGACCAAGTATAATTTGCAAATGCCTCCCTCTTCAATTGAGGTTTTGCACTTGGGACACTCGCTGACCTGTTTTAAGCACTGGTGGCAGAAAACATGACCACAATTTGGGATAATGGCATCTTTATAATTATTCTGGCAGGAAGGACACATTAGATCTTGCTTGTAAGTTCGGATTTCTTCCAGTATGACCTCATCGATGGGTGGATGATGTCGCCCTTGGCGTCTGATTTGATCGATGGATTCCCGAGCGTGTCGAATCTGCTGGAGAAGATTGGATTGATTTCGTTCTTCCGCAGCGATGTCGTTCGTCCGTTCCTTGAGCGTGCCGTTAATTTTATCCAGGGCTTTCTGGTAGCAATCTAATAGCAATTAAAATAATTACCATTTTACTGCTCAATTTTTCGAAGTTTGAAATAATAAAAAACTGCCCATAGCGTATAAATTGGGTAAAAAAGGTTGTAAAATTTTTAATTGAGCACAAAGTAAAATTAATTTCTGAAATATTAAAAAGTTACTAGTTTGAAAAATTTAGCGTGCAAACAACAACTATTTAAGCTATTAATTTTAAGACTAGATAAAATTTATATAATTTCACAAACGATGGAGGAAGTTTACAATTTTTATTTATTTACTAAATAAAGAATATTTCTTGAAAACGAAATTTATTACCTATTTGAACATTTGGTATGGCAGTCGTATGAAGTAGCCGGATGTTTTCAATATTTTCGTGAGCTGCTACAATGTGAAGGTTTTGCAATTTTTCTTGATATTTCGAAATCCTCTGAACCAAGGAGCTTGTTTTTTCGTCAAGTTCGGGTAAAGTATTGATCAAATTATTTAATTCGTTGATGGATATCTACAAATACATGAATGTATATAAATAATAATTAATTAATAACGTAATAATAATTGCCAATTATTAATTGGAAATTGAACCATGAATACCATATCAGAATTTTTGTCAATTTCCAGATGGGCATCTTTGTCACCAGTTTTCGTATCCTGAATCATATTCTGCGAGTATTGGAACAATCTCCGGTTGTCAGCTTCACTTATCATGTCCGCCAGTTTATTGCGTTGCATGGTTAATTCGTCGAAATTGTGGCCACATTTTTCCAAAGATGTTATTAACGTTTGCATACCCTTAGCACGGTCACTAGCTTCTCGCATTAGTGATGATTCTGTTCCTTTGAGATTTGTAATATGCTTCAACTTCCTGATTAACTTTGAAAAATTTTCAATCTCGTTCCGAGTCTTTTTCAATGAATCTTGAACGGAAGTGTTTCCAGTATCCTGGTTTAGAGCATTATTTTTGAACAAATCGAGTTGAAACTTCAAGCTGTCTCGTTCAGATTGAGCTTTCCTGAAATGCATAATGAAAGTGACTTGAATATAGTAAGTTCATGGCAGTAATACTGATACATATCGTCGGCCTAATTATAAATCCCGACAAGTGATTTTCATAGCATAATTATTCTAGTAATGCTTATTCTAGTAATTAGCATGAATAACGATTCTATGTGTATTAGCTTCAGTAGTTATGTAATTAGGACAAGTGCATTTTCTAAAAATTTTCAAGACAGCCAAAAACGTGAATTAACAAAACGTTTTGTTCTGGCCGACCTAATTTTTAGCTTGGTTGTCAAAAATTAGCTACAGCTACAGTCAGCATAAAAATTGGGGGAAACCAGCAAAATATTCGAATTTTTTTCCAGAGATCAACGCCTACCAATTTTTCGGCGGTGTAGCTGACGCTGCGCGGCGTCCCAAGGTTAACGGACTGTGAAATGAGAATTATCGCACAAAATGCTACCGGCGAGGCGACGTTGACCTATGTTTTCTATTCTAAATCTAACTAGAAACTCAGAAATTCTGAGTCAGAATGCCCTAAAATGTACTTGTCTGGAGTGCTCTGGAGCTATAATCATTCGTCCGGATTTATAATTAGGCCGACGATCTGGGTTATTTTATTACGCCAATTCCCGTTTTAATCGGACAAGCTCTTCCGGTTGGTGTGAGCCGCCAGTGTCCACTTCTTTCCCACTTCCACCAGGTCTGGGTGGCGAACAAGCCTTATTACCTGTAAGATGTCGGATTCGTTGCTGCATTTCTTTGTCGACTGTGAGCAGCTAAAAATAATTAAAAATCGATCATGGATAGTATCAATAATTCTTGAATATCGCACCGCGTACCTTGTTACGCTCAGCCAACAATCGTTCCTCCTTTCTTGCCGTATAATCGAGATATATGTGAAAACCTTCGTGTTGCGTTTGCAATATTTCGGCGAAATTTTCTTCTTCTTCTTGCACAGGTCCAAAATACTCTTTTTCTAACTGACGCAGATTTAAGTCTTGACGCCAGTCGGCCAAATATTGTTTCGTGAAGGAAATCTGGTCAATTTTATGCAAAATATCGTGACGATCTTTAGACTGCTTATCAAGCTCCTGTATAAATATATGCAAATTTTTAAAGCCTAAATATGCAGAGACAAAATATAATTGATCGACTTTCACCACCTTTCTCTCAAACAGGTTGGCCAATCCTAAAAGGTGTCCCTGTGCAGTGCCGCTTTGCGAAAGGAGCATTTCCAACTCTAGAAACTGCTTGGACACAAAATCCTCCATGACGGTGACGCTGTTCTCTAACTCTCGGTACTGCGATGAGGTCAGGATCTCATCCCTCTGAATATTGCACGCTTCTAGTCGCAATTTCTGCAAGTGTGCGAATGCTTGTTCTTCAGATGTTTGGAGGTCTTCAAGTTCACGTAGTAAAGGATCATCTTTGTCCAGTTCCACTTTTTTTGCGACTGTTCCTTCTTCAATAGGTGTTTTGGCAAGTGTTTGCAGGTTTTGCACATCAACAGACATGCTTTGATGGTTCTTTTGCAGATTTATGGTTAGAGTGTCGAGTTTGTAGTCGTAACGTTGCAATTTGTAAATGTCCCATTCCAACTGCTCAATGGTGTCACGTAATTTATCGGCATCTTCAGCAGTACTGGAAATTGCTGCGTTTTCCCTTATTAAACGATGCTGTATAAAAATATAAATATTTTCATGCATGAGCTGACTACGGATTGGATTTTGTATATTTTATGTAAAAATCAGTGTTTCGTTTTGGACGTCCATATCTGCCCATACTAATTTTGGACGTCCAAAATGTCCAAAAGCATCCAACGTTGGAAAATGGGGCAAAATGATACAGATTTTTAATTGACGAATCTTTTTGCATATTTATGCACATATGCACATATGCAATTTCCTATTAATTTTGAGCTTTTGGTTGGTCTATGTATAATACTACGAAATTTAGAACAACTTTTGTTTCAACATGTTTTTTTAGGAGAAATTAAGAAATGTTCTAAACCATGGTGCATTATTAC